TCCCCGATTTTCACGAATTGTCTTCTTTTGTTTCCCATTTTCGCCGCTTTTCTTTCATAAATCTCGCTCCGTGCGTCTTATTTTCAGGTATTTCCTCACAGTAACTATTTAAGATATTTCTTTACGCTTTTTTTTGTAGATTTCCATGAAAGTCAGGCAAGGTTGAGACCAACAGAGAAATCGGATAGATGTCACAGGTATCAAGAGAAACACTTATCATTTTTGGTTTGCTGTTCTATATAATACTCATTTGCTTCCCAATGGTTTACCGCATCATCGAGGCGGGGAAGGTGTTCCTGGTTGTAGTGCTAAGGTGTACAGCGAGGGATTCATCCCCCAGAAGGGTTTCCCATGCTGACTAGGAGTCCGGCGCTTCCATAACGAAGCCCAACTAAGTCACTCTTAGTTAACCAATACCAGGATCCACCATCGTCCTGGTATCGAACTAGTCGCATGATGGCAAATCTCCCTCTGATCTACAAGGGCTGCGACTGCCTGTGATAATTACCATCTGGGGAGACTTTGGCTGGGCTGACCTTGGGACTCCAGGGAAACGCAATAGCTAAACGAGCAAAACTCCGAAAAATGGAAGTTGTGCTGGGGCCCGCACTACCAGTGAGGACGGGTCGTCTAAGTATCCAAGGAAGTAATATTTATTTGAAGTGGTATTAGAAAGTATCTCTTGCATTTATGGATAGAACAGTACAGTAAAAACGAAAGTTTAAACCACATAAACTCTGTAATATAAAGTATTAACGAAAAAAAAGCGATATACGAATTTCAGTTCCTACGTCGACCAGCATCGACCGTTCTACTAGTTGCTGTCAACTTGTTGTCAACTATCTCAGCTTTCCAGAGTTCAAATTCAATTAATCCACATTTCTCCATATCACAACATGCTCCCGTCTTACAGGTAACATATTTTATTGAGTATATAAATATATTTATGTATATATTGGAGTTTTTTGAAAAAGTGTGCATAGCGCAGTGGTTAGTGGTGCTATACCATACAAATGGGTAGTTAGCTTGATCTAGCACCCCAGGCTAACTAACCATTCGGACCTTTTGAGGTTAGGATGCTACCCTCAAAACTGTGAATGTTTACTGATTTGATATATAGGCGGGCTTTCTCAAGTTATCGTATAGGCCAAATATGCATCCATTCACTTCTACAATATCACATATTGGAGTGGAATGAAAGATAACGACGCATATCTAAGGTAGAGATCGACGCCTAACACCTCAGCCTTTAATTATTTACGTTTCTTAAAAATACTTTCAGAGACGGTTTAGAAAAAAATTTCTTAACAAAGTCGTCTTTTGACTCATTCGTCTGTCTTTTGGGCGATCTGGTAGGTCTTTCGAGGATTGCTGATTTAACCGTCAACAACAAACAAAGCAAGAACATCAACGGTCGTGCCTGACAGAGTGTGGAAAGCCGAATTGAAAGCGTCTGAACTAGCGTCCATCAGAAAAAGGCACGAATTCGTAGCAAATTCTTCTACGCCAGGGTGCACTTTGCTACTGTACACTCGTGTTTCATTTGCATTACCAAGATTTACTATAGAATGTAATTAGAAACCATTATTTTTCAAACAAACCTCTATTCTCGATCTAACTTTATTCAAGTGATTTTCTTCGTATTTTTGTTGAGCAAACGCGAGGTGTTACTATTCCTTGTTCACGATTAAGCTGACGTTTCGGCGGATTTCGCCTTCTTCAGAGCCTGGAAAGGTCAAGTTGATAGCAACTCACTCGGCCAGACGCCTCCATAACCAAACAAAGAAACTCCAAACCAAGATTTCAATCACTTTGAACACAGCTTTGCACACTCACCGCTTTCTATGAGGTTTCCACTAAGTATGTCACGTAGATGTGCCCCTCACATCAGAAAAGCAGTTTTATATACTGCCCTATATCACGCGTGATAATGAGGCATTCTTCCCTGCGGTTCATTTTCGGATTTCTGGAATTAATCCAGAGTGCCTCGAGAGTTTTTCGCGCCTGTGTTCTTGATTCGCATGCGAGGATCGTGACACATACTTCGAAGTCGTCCCCGTTATGTCTCTGGGTCCTATGCGTGCCTAGCGGGGTATTTGGTCTATTTTTGNTTCTTTCATGCGGACACAGAGGGGTCTACCCGTCTCGCCAATGTATTCGTCAGCACACGTCTTACAGGAGATCAGATAAACTATACCCGAGCTCATGCAATCACCGTCTCTAC